ATTGTCTGTTGTCTGATGAAGACTTTCCTCAAACCTATTCTTTAGCTTGCTATAGAGATTGATCTGATCAATGCAAGCTTGGACCTGTATTTGAGAAATGGTTTCTTACTTGCAATTAAACCTGTTAAAAGTGTCTGAAACTTCTTAACATATCGTCGTCTTACTTTAAGTTCGAATTCAGCTATTGAAGTCTAAATTTCCCACGACACTTAGAGGCATCGTCCGAGATTCTTAACAAAGTAATCCGTATTTTCCAAAACAGGCTACATATCCTAAGAGCGATATAATTTTTATTTTTTTGAAAAATAATAGGCACGACTGTTTTTTGGAGATAGAGTGATACTATACAGAATTTTGAAACTCAGGACCTACAAATGCTGAATTAGGACAATGTTGGACGACAGTTTGACAGCGGTTTTGATAAATTAACAAAAAATAGGCTCGTTAATTTTGACTTAATTCGTGAGTTATTGTAAGATTTTAAACTTGGCAAAATGGAAGCTTATTGCTTCCTAATCGGGTATTTGTTGATTTTGGTCTGGTAAACGTGCACGTCAGGAATTATTAATTTCTGCAGCTCCCAATCCTCCTCAACAAATGGGTGGTGGAGCGCCAGACTGGAGCAATATTTACTGTATGAGTGTTAATACCTGTATACAGTAGGAATAAAATGCTATTCAATATAAGGTTATCTGGGTGCGGTGAGGCCGGCTGGGTTATTAGGATGTGATATCTCACTTAAAAAGAACTGGCAAGTTCATTAACATATAGGAGACTTCATTATAGGCTAAAATTAGATTTTGCCTCTTAAATATCAATAACAACATGGTATTACATGTGTATTGGTAAATATCGGTGGATACTGAGCGTTGGACCGGCTAAAATAATGACAGACAAATACGGGGAGACTGGACATGCGGGTATAATTGAACCTGTGGGAGTTATTGGGATTTCCTGTTAATGGCAGTTTTAGTCAGAGACAGATGCTGTTGTTGAAAGATCGTCAGTTCTTTTAAGTGAGATATCCTGAATAACCGATCTGTCTTACCGCACCCAGATAACCTATATTGAACAGCATTTTATTCCTACTGTATACAGGTATTAACACTTCATACAGGTAAATATTGCTCCAGTCTGGCGCTCTCCACTCACCCATTTGTTGAGGAGGATTGGAGCTGCAGAAATTAATAATTCCTGACGTGCACGTTTTACCAGACCAAAATCAACAAATACCCGATTAGAAGTACTGTTTTCCATTTCTAAGAGAACTTTAAAATATTACAATAACCTTACGAATTAAGTCAAAATTAACGAGTCTATTTTGTTAATTTATCAAAACCGTTGTCAAACTGTCGTCCAACATTGTCCCAATTCAGCATTTTTAGGTCCTTGAGTTTCAAAATTCTGTATAGAATCACATATCTCCAAAGACAGTCCTGGCCTGTTATTTTTTCAAAAATTTTTAAAAATTATATCGCTCTTTAGGATATGTAGCCTGTTCATAAAATTCCATAACACATAGCCTACAGAATACGTTGTATTTTTTAATCTTCAAGATGACTAAGATAATATTGTGGAATATCCGCATTAAATGCGGCAACACAATTACATATCTCAAAGCTAAGACAAAAAGTAATAGTTCAAAAGGTAAAACTTGACATATTTTTAATTGATTGCAAGTCTGAAGGAAAGTAAAGATAGGATTGTTTCAATCTTGTGTCCTCTGTTAACAAATTTGTTTAGATTCCAAGATTATCTTGTTCATTTTTGAATATTCAATTAGCCTGTCCTTTGGTGGCATAAGGCTTTGTTCCAGGGAACACTTTGAGGTTCTGCAGTATGATACCCATTATGAGATATTGCTTTGAAAGATGGACTGGAATATAAAACCAACAATCGTATGGTTAGGAGTTTTTTTGCCTTTCCATTAGGCCAGATATTCTGTGTTACATTTTTTTTAAAAATAGAAAACATTTAGAAAAAATCTTCAGAAATGTGTTTTGATCAAATGAACTCTTTTACAGAATTTGTTTCATTGGTAGATTGTTTTTTCTGGTCTTGAGTTTTAAACTGCCATTTACTTAAGCAAAGAATGGTTAAGCTCAATGGACCTAGCGGTTATGGGCCCTGCACGCTTACGCTGCACCACTCTGCTGACCGATACTTGTGGCAAGACTCAATCACACAGCCCTTGACATAGGAAACTAGTGTCATAGCCTACAGAATACGTTGTTTTTTT